CTTCCTTTCGGCTTTCACTGCCACACGTCATAATCAGCCATTACCCCGCAGATAACTCAACACTAAACACACTTTAAACAGACAATCCGATTAGGAGACGGCTGCAGACGCGCCACTGGTGTGTACTGCGAGCCATGTCCTGTAAAGTCTCGAGCCAAGCACAAGGTGAGTCACGTGGACTCCAACCCGGAAGGCGAGACGGACCAACGGCACCCAGTTTGGTCGTCAGTGACTTCATTTCACGCTGCCAAGTCAACTTCTGTCCCCCTCGAGCCATGCGCCATCCTACACCTGGTAGACTAAACAAGACCCTCCTAGGTAAGCGGTGACCAGGCATGCGTAGCACGTGCCCGAGCCAAAGCAACTTATTCAGTGCTATCTGTTGTTCTAGGGAGCTAGCACGATTATCACTTCCTAGTACTCGCCTACGCACATCATCATTGCGGACACGCTGGTGCCATCCGACACCAGCAATGCTTCGCAAACAACGATGATCAAAGACTTGAAGGCGCCTCAGATCTTCAGACCGAAGGGGCCAAGTCTCACTACCATAGAACAGAAGGGCCCTCACTGTGGCCTTGTATACACGGTCTTTCAGACGGAGGGAAACTCCCTTCTGTCGCCAAAGATTCCGCAGGTTCAAGAAGGCAGCTTAAAGCGCGAAGCGGGATCGGTACGCTTTAGAACAAATACGCGAAAATAAGGCCAACCTCCGGTGAGTGGAGAACACCAAAGGTAACGCTAGGAAAAATTTATTAAGTGGGCGAAAGGCTATCTAGTGCTAAAAATAAGGCACCGAAAGATAGCTAGCTAGGGAAAGGTGTGGTCGCGTGCGCGGAGAGCAAAGATGGCAGCGGAGCCGAGGAGCGTCGCGCCGTTCGAAGGCGGATGCTATGTTGACTCAAACAAACGCGAGCAACGTTCAAACAGGCGAGCGGCTATTTTGCTATGTACATCGAGAAAATATAATTTTGTGATTTTGTAATATTTTACGCAGCATGCGGCAGCCAAACAGGGGAATCTCCAGGTCACTACACAGCCCCCCTCTTAGAAGGGAACCGTAGGTGACCCTTCGATCTACGTGAGGACTGTCCGTCGCCGGCCAGCCTTCTGCGAGACCAGGCGGTGAAACCTGATGCAGCTGCTGGGGGAGAACCAATGCGATCGGACGCTAGGGGGGCTCCCACCCGTGTCCTCCCTACAGGTGCCAAAAACACAAAATGGGGGAAATGTTCGCAGCGTTCGAGTGCGTAGTGTCAAAGCACACGATGTTTGAGCACGTAGTGTCCGCAAACGTAACGTTCGATCGTCGTTGAACGTCCGCGTGTCGAGGATATGAAAAAGAAGCGGAGACGCGGAGTGTCAAACAGGTGCGAGCGACAGAGCTAACGAAAAACGATAGCACTTACCGAGTGCGATAAGCAAATAAAGCGAGAACCATTTTGTGTTTTCAAAACGATTTTCTCCTTTTTTTGGGTTTTCAAAACGTCTTTGCGGTTTTTGGGGTTTTCAAAACGCTTTGCAAATTTTTTTGGGTTTTCAAATCGTTTTTGTTGGGCGGGTTAGGCCACAAGCAAAAGGAAGCGGGAAAAGAAGAATGAAAAGAAGACTAATCTTTTAGTCGCGCTGGCCAATGAACCCGCCTACCTGACCTAGTCGATTTCGGACGTTCGGTCGGAGGCGTTGTCGATCCAGCAGTTTTGTCGGATGAGGACGCTTTCGGCTCGATAGAAACGTAAGGAACTGAGTCGGAAGAGTTGGTCGGAGAATGCTTCGCAGCATCGGAAGTAGGCGTATCGTCGATCATGGGCTGCGTTGACTCGTCCGAAGGTGGACAGGAGTCATCGTCGATCTCAGGTTCCACATGGGCAACCTTGAGACGGTCGATAGAGACGGTTTCATGTTTACCGTGGCGGTCGATAACGAATACGCGGTCCTTACGTTTAAGAACCTTAAATGGACCTTCGTAGGGTCGTTCGAGTGGTCTGCGTAGACCATCGACTCGAAGGAAAACGTAAGTGCAATGCAGTAGATCTTGTGGAACGAACGATTTACGTCGTTGTTCTCGCACGTCGGTTGCTTTAATATGGCGCATGCTCGTGGCTAACTGCCGAGCGTAATTCGCGTCGTAGCGAGGTGTTCTAGGGTTTTCAGAAAAGAAGTCCCCAGGTAGTCGAAGAGGTTGTCCGTATACCAATTCGGCGCTGGACGTGTGCAAATCAGCTTTAAGAGCTGATCGGATACCAAGTAGTATCATGGGCAGTGCTTCGGTCCAGCTTAGTGCATTAGCGGCACTAAGTGAGGCCTTCAGCTGTCGGTGGAAACGTTCCACCATGCCGTTGGATTGCGGGTGATAGGCGGTAGTCCGGATGCGTTGACATCCGAGGACTTTGAGAAGATCGTTGAAAGTCGAGGATTCGAACTGCGGACCGCGGTCGGTAGTCACGGTGGCTGGACAGCCATGTGAAGCGACCCAGCGCTCAACGAAAGCGCGCGTTACGGTGTCCGCGGATACGTCGGGTATAGGTACTGCCTCGGGCCAACGGGTGTATCGGTCGATCATGGTCAGAATGTAGACCATTCCTCTGGATGGTGCCAAGGGTCCAACTATGTCGAGATGGACATGGGCGAAGCGAGCTGAGACTTGCGGAAAACGACCAAGCGGGGCGGACACGTGCCGCTGTATCTTGGCCTGTTGACACGTTAGACATCCGCGTGCCCAGCGCTTAAGATCGCATTGCATTCCGGGCCAAACGTATCTCTCGGATATGAGCTTGATCGTGGCTCGGATGCCTGGATGAGCGATGTTATGAAGTGTGTCAAAAACTAGACGTCGAAAGGTTTCTGGAACGACGGGTCGAGGTCGTCCAGTAGAAGTATCGCACAAGATTGTGCCATCAGATGACGGCAGTGGATGCGGTGTGATTCGTAGCGAAGAATCTTGTTTGACGTTCTGACAGTCGGTGTCGGTTAGTTGCGCGGTAGCCATGGCAGATAAGTCGATTGCCTGGCCAGCGGTGTGGATTGCGGAGACGCGCGAAAGGGCGTCAGCAACGACGTTATTCTGACCAGAAATGTGTCGGAGGTCAGTAGAAAATTGAGCCACGAAATCCAGCTGACGAACCTCACGTGGTGAGTGTCGAGCTGATTGATTTCGAAAGGCGTAAATAAGCGGCTTATGGTCGGTGAAGATAACGAACGAATTACCTTCTAAGACGTGCCTAAAATGTCGAACGGTAGAATAAACTGCCAGCAGTTCGCGGCTGAACGTGCTGTACTTGGCTTCTGCCGGTTGTAAGCGTCGGGAGTAGAAAGCGAGTGGCTTCCAGCATCCCTCAGTGAATTGCTGCAGGACGGCGCCAATGGCGGTGTCCGATGCATCGACTGCAACGCTGAGTGGAGCCTTCGGGTCGAAATGGTGAAGCATAACGGCTTCGGCCAAGGCCTCTTTGCAGGCTTTGAAGGCTTCGGTTGCAGCGGGCGTCAATTCGACATTGCCGTTCTTGCGTCCACGAAGTAAGTCGGTCAATGGACTGAGCAAGTCGGCACAACGTGGCAGAAATCGACGGTAGTAGTTAATCATCCCACTAAAACGGCGGATGGCGGCCAAAGTAGTCGGAACGGGAAAGTCCTTAATAGCACTGACTCGGTCTTCGAGCGGCCGTATGCCATGCTGGTCAATTCGATGACCAAGAAAATCGATGGATGGTTGCTGAAAGATGCATTTGTCAGCGTTGACCGTAATGCTATTAGAAGCTAACCTCTCGAAGAGCATCTTGAGGTGCTTCGCGTGCTGTTCTTCGGAAGAACTAGCTACTAAGATGTCGTCTATATAAGGATAAACAAAGTCGAGACCTCTGGTGACAGAGTCTATGAAGCGTTGAAAAGTTTGAGCTGCGTTACGAAGACCGAAGGGCATTCGCAAGAATTCGAAAAGTCCGAAAGGCGTGATGACTGCGGTTTTCGCAATGTCATCCTCGGCTACAGGGATCTGGTGGTAAGCGCGAACCAGATCGATCTTCGAGAACACACGGGCGCCACGTAGGCTAGCCGTGATGTCCTGAATGTGCGGAATGGGATAGCGGTCGGGGACGGTAGCGTTATTAAGAGCGCGATAGTCGCCACATGGACGCCAGTCTCCTGACTTTTTAGGCACCATGTGTAGAGGCGATGCCCACGGGCTCTTAGACGGGCGAATAATGCCTAGGTCTAACATGTGCTCGAATTCGGAGCGAGCAATTTTGAGCTTGTCGGGGGTCATGCGCCTGGCTTTTGCGAACACAGGCGGACCTTTCGTAACGATATGATGTGTCGCGGCGTCGGTTGCGGAAGGCAACGGGACGGCAGGACGGAAGACCTGCGGAAAACTATCGAGCAGCGTTTGCCCGACGGGTGAACTAAGTTGAGTCGCGTACACGGGACTGATTGACGCGGTGTCGGTCAAAGTCCCAATGACTGCGAGATTCGTAAGACGGTCGACTAGACGGTGTCGCTTAACGTCGACGAGTAGGTCGTAATGACGTAAGAAGTCGAGACCAAGGATAGGCGTTTGAACATCCGCAACGAGGAATATCCATTTGAAAGCGCGTCGGAGGCTGAGATTTAGCGTGCGCGAGCGTTGACCATATACGCGGATGATGGTTCCGTTAGCTGCGCGCAATGAGCTAGTCACCTTTTCGGTCGGGTCATTTGGATCACGCGGGAGAACGCTGACTTCTGCGCCAGTATCGACGAGATAGCGAACTCCGGTTCTACGATCGGTGACGAAGAAAAGGCGACTGCGTTGACCAGCTACGTCCGTCGCCCCTACGTGCTGGTCCGCCCGTTTCCCTGCTGCTGTCGTTTGAAGGAACAGGGCGGGCGACATGATTTAGCTTGCTGGCCGAAGCGTTCGTGGTACCAGCAGTAACCGTTTCTATTCGGTGATCGAGAAGGAGACTTCGAACGTGAACGCGAACGGCTCCTAGAGCATTTACAGCGATTATGTCTGGAGGCCGAAAAGTCTGCGAATTGTCGAGTCAACGTTGCCATCTGGGATTTAAGCGTAGCGATATCGTTGTCCGGTTTCGTCTGGACCTGCGAAACCTGGCCGTACGACTCCCAAATTCGGTCGGCTGTATCGGCCAGTTTGGACAAAGGTGCATCCTCACTAGCGCAGAGGATGTGTAGCATCTCGCGCGGAAGTCGTTGCAACCACATTTCCCGAAGAAAAGAATCATCTATCGAAGAGGGTTTAGCTAGGCTCTGCATTTTTCGAAGCAGCTGAGATGGCTTAAGATCGCCAAGATCGGTTTCGTTGAGGAGTTTCGTAACTCGTTGTCGATCGGATAAGCCTGTTCTTCTCAGAACAGCTGTCTTGACTGCATCGTAAGTCTTTCGGTCGTCAGGAAGATCTAGAATGTCATCAATGTCATCGATGACATTTAGCGGAAGCGCGGAAACGACTAGGTGGAACTTGGTCTTTTCGGACCTAATACCACGCAAAGAAAATTGCGATTCTAGCTGACCAAACCAAGACTTAGGATTAGTCTCGCGAAAAGGTGCGATAGGAAGCGTAACTGTGCCTATCTGAACGTCAGAATCTACACGATCAGTTTCCATAGCGAGCAAAATAGCGAGCCAGCGAGATTAAATCGGAAAATGAAAAGTGAAAATCAGACGGGTTAGCGAAAAAATGTGGCCAAATCTGAAAAGAAAGGTTAGCGAAAACTCACCGGATAATGACCAAAATTCGGGGTCACCAATAAAGCGCGAAGCGGGATCGGTACGCTTTAGAACAAATACGCGGATATAAGGCCAACCTCCGCATGCTGCGTCAACATACGGTTAACTACCGCATGTTGACGCAGCATGCGGCAGCCAAACAGGGGAATCTCCAGGTCACTACAAGCTCTGGCCTTTGCAATGCGTGAGCTCACGTCAGTTTCTATGCGCCCATCATTGCTGATGCAGCTGCCAAGATAAGTGAATTGATCAACCACCTCGAGTTCCTCGTTAGCAAGCGTTAAGGGGTCATCAAGTGGCTGGTGGT